AAGTCACAGAAGAATTGGAAAAGTTCTTGTCAATACTGTCTTCTTCTTTGCCTGTTCTTAGTAATTTACAATCTACTATTCTCTTTTTAATTTATTTTGAAGTAAATTTAAACTCAAAGAACATTGTTCATGTCCCTTGCAGGAACCTGGATGAATTGGAAACCATCATTCTCCATAAACTAACACGAGAACAGAAAACCAAACGCCACATGTTCTCTCTTATAAGTGGGAGTTGAGCAATGAGAACACATGGACACAGGGAGGGGAACATCACACACTGGAACTTGTCAGGGGGTGAGGGGCTAGGGGAGGGATAGCATTAGGAAAAATACCTAATGTAGGTGATGGGTTGGTGGGTGCAGCAAACCACCATGGCACATGTATACCCTATGTAACAAACCTGCACATTCTGCACATGTACACCAGAACTGGAAGTATAATTAAAAAATAAAATAAAATAAAAAAAGAACATTTGCAAGAACAACACAAAGAACTCCTGGATCTCCTTCACCTAGCTTCCCCAATTGTATATATTTCATCACATTTTCTCCATGTCTCGTTCCTTGTAAATACATACAACACATGATTATCATTCTTATTTTTCTGAATAACTATGGGCAACGTGACCCTTTCCTCCTTAAATCTATAGTGTTTATTTTCCAAAAACAAGGACAGTTTCCAACGTGACTTCCATGCAATCATCCCAAACAGGAAATCTACACTGATGCATCAAATAACCCAAACCTGAAATTCAGTCACATTTTTTCAATGACCTTGATTACATCTCTTCTCCCTTTCTGGTCAAAGATGCCATTGAAAATCAAGCTTTGCATTTGGTTCTGATGTTGCTTTAGCCTCCTTCAGTCTGGAAAAGTTCTGCAGCTTTTTCCTGCCTTTTATGTCCTTGATGGTTTTAAAGAGTAGAAATCTTTCATTCTGTAGGATGTCTCTCAGGCAGCATCCTGAGGTTTCCTCAGGACCGGAAGAATGGTGTATTCCTGGCAGGAGTACCACAGAACTGATGCTGTAACCTTCTCGGGGCATCAGAACACCCATAGGGTGATCCTTCCCACAAGAGGTGATATAAACGCCAGATTGGTGTCTGCCAGGTTTTTCACCCTAAAGTCGCTATTTTTTCCTTTGTATATGATAAGTATTTTGTGGGAAGATACACCACATCTAAAACAATGGTGGCATATGGTGGCTTAGTCATGTGTTAACGTGGCTAGGCTGAACTATGCTTCCCAGAATGTTTCAAGTTAGTTTGGACTACTAAGACCTTCTTGTTGGCACTTAAGAGGGTGGAAGTAAAGCAGCAGCCATTCCGTAACTCTCACGTTGTCACTCACCCACTGGCTTAGCTCATTGGTGTGCCAGAGTCACAGTGCAACTGCTCACCTTCTCCTGATTTCCTTTTCAGCTTCTCTGACCTCTGAGCCAGGTAGGAGGGTCCTGACTTCTGCAGGACGTCCATACCATCAAAGGCAGAAGCAACAAGAACTGACACTGGTTTCAGTCCATCTTCTGATCTGCAGCTTATGCTTATGGATTTCAGCTTGTTCTGTTTGCCACTCAATTTATGTCTATTTCCCTTTGCCTACTGCCTATATTTTGGACTTTAAAGCTCCAGCATCCCAGAGACAACAGCTTGCTTAAGCTGTTTAACTGACTTGCATAATTGCAGAAGGCTAAGTGCCTGTCAAAAAGCATATATATGTCTTATGTTTTTAAATATAAATATTTTCTGTATGTAATCTTTTCGTGGTTCTGTTTTCCTGCTTGGACCATGACTGATCTACTGCTTTCTATCAAGTCTACTCCCCGAAGTCTTAGCATCCATTCATACCTCCCATCTGAACCAATTATGATGGTGATGGTTGTCAAATGGTGAGTTTTCCACATTCATAACCCCTTCAAAATATACTGGTATTCTTTTGGAAGAAAGAAACATCACTTCTCCTTAATTTACTTGTCTCCTCATTCATTTATATAAAATAGACTTATGAATTGATATTTAATGGGTCATAAACCATTATTCATTATTAATTTTGGTGCTCAGGTGGTCTTTGAGTTGGCCAGCAGAAGTCCCCTCCAATCTGGTCCAATGTCTCTTTGGATATATCTCCTCATTTTTTAAATACTTCCTTCCTTTGTAACGCAAAACGATGTTTATCGATCTTTTTGTTAACTCCCTGATTTAGCCCCAGAATTGGCTATTTTTTCAAGGGACACTCTTCCTTTTAGTGGAGGATGGTATTTAGAAACCAAGCCAGGATTCTTAAACTTCCTGTTTTATCCCTATCTTTGATCTTCTCTTTTACGAACCATGTACTCGTTTTCAATTGCCACACAACAAATTACTATAAAATTGGCAATTCAAAACAATGCAAATTTATTATCTCTCAGTTTCCACAGATCAGGAGTCAGGGCACTGGTTGGCACTCAGGGTGTCACAGGCTGCCATCAAAGTGCCCACTGGGCTGCAATCTCAGCTGAGGCTTGGGTCCCTCCTCCAATCTCCTTCAGATTGTTGGTAGAATTTGGATCTTCGTGGCTGTAGGCCTAAGGTCCCTGCCAGCTGGGGTTACTCTCAGTACATAGAGGCCTTCCACGCTCAGGTCCAGGACACATGGCCCTGCTACAACATGGCCAGCAGAAAAATTTCTCTTCAGTGTGTTATGAGGAAGTATATTTATTATACAATAAATAAATATTTATTTATTTATTATACAATAAATATACTGTAGTCATGGGAATGAGTATCCCATCATAGTCACAGGTGCTGTTCACACTCAAGGGTAGGAGATTATACCAGGCATGCATACCCCCTCAGAGGCAGGAATCTTAGAGCCCACTGTAGAACTGAGTCTAGCACAAACCATCAGCAATTCCTGGGGGTTCTGCATATGATACATGCCCAAATCCAGACCCTTCTCTGCATGTCCACTGCTAGCTTTCCAGCCCACACTACTTCATCTCTCTTCTTTAATACAATAGTTTCCCTCTCTCCCTCCTTCCACTTTTGCCTCCCTATGCCATCATCTAAAACTAACTAGAATGATCTTTTAAAAACTTACCTAAGATGATGTGTTTAACCTTCTTATAATCTTCAACAATATCCTATTGAATTCAAAACCAAATCCACAATTTCCACAGCCTCTATATTTTCAGCCCCTATCTGCCTCTTATATCAACTTCCTTTTGCTCCCTGGGCAACAGCCACCATAGCTTACGCATTTTCCTATTTCTCAAATGAGCCAAAGTTGTTCCTTCCCTATACCTTTGTACATCCTCTGAAATACTTGGTCCTTGCACTGAACAGATTAAGTTGGCTATTTGAATCTCAATTCACATGCCACTTCTCCAGAAAAAGTCTTTCTGATAGTGTAAAGTAACAACATTCACTTAGTCACTCTGAATTACATGAGCCTATTTATTTTCTTCATAGTGTTTATCAGAAAGTATCTTCTTTATCTGTTTACTTCTATGTTATTTGCCTGCCCCAAGTAGAATGTTTGCTCCGTGAGGCCAGAGACCATGCCTATTTTATCCACTGGTGTATTGCCAATACCCAGTGCAGTACTGTTTCATGCTAAGCAGATGCTTAATAGATGGTGATAGTGAATGGGTCTCACGAGGTTTATGTACTACGCAGAAAAATTAAAATTAGGAAGATGTTACTTACAAGGACTCAAACTCTGAGGCCATTTTGTAAGTGGAAAATTATACACACATACATATGTTTACACACACATTCTCTAAATTATTTGTCTAAAAGTAGAATATTTAAAAATAATATTAAATTGTCTCACTTGATAATATTAAAATCCCCCTTGGACTCTAGAAGGAAGGCATCAATACAGAAAGGAATTTTGTCACCTCTTTTCCTGTTGGTGGCCTGACATTTTTACAATGAACATCGGGCAATCATTTCTTACATTGAATTAATGCTCTGCTTCAGAAATTTAGTTTATCACCATTAGCAACAATAATAAAAATCCTAGCCAGGTGATGGGTCACGTGCCTGTAATCCCAGCTACTCAGGAGGCTGAGGTGGAAGGATCACTTAAGCCCAGGAGGTCGAGGCTATAGTGAACCATAATTGCATCACTGTACTCCAGTCTGGCTGACACAGTAAGACCCCATCTCTACGGAAAAATACAAAATTAGCTGGGCATGGTGG